GACGTTTTTGTACTTAAAACTTTTAAAGCGAACCAGAGAACAAGCAAGCACAAATGTCACACAAAAAACACAGCAGCAACAAGAGACAAGGATCCCCCCCTAATCTAATCCGAGTCATCACTGGAGCGCTTAAATGACACTAATTCACTTCTGATTGGTCCACTCATGAGAACTGCGAGCCAATCGGAACACCTAGATTTTAGAAGAACAGCATGGTCCACTCGTGAGAACTCTGCAAGCCAATCGGAACACCTAGATTTTAGAAGAACAGCATGGTCCACTCGTGAGAACTCTGCAAGCCAATCGGAACACCTAGATTTTTATAGGACAGCAGACAGCAAATAAAAACGGAAAGGGGAGGAGGGAACAACGAAGCAACACCCCAAGGCATGTAACAGCCTCACAATCATCCCCATTCACTGAGGCCCTGTTTACACTAGTGCGTTTTAGTTTTAAAACGATCTGCGTCCACACTAGCGTTACTGAACATATCTCCGTCCACACTACGCCATCAAAAACGAATATCACGCATTCGCGCACTCTGGGCATCCGCGTGCTAGTATAAACAGGAAGCTTGTGTCTCATTCGGCATTTGGTTATTGTTAGTCAACAAACGCCGGTCGAACAATGAACGAGATAGCAAAGAAAGCAAGAGAGGTATTTTTGTGGACAGACGACGAGGTCGAGTTGTTACTAAACGTAACAAATGAATAACTGTACAATGGCGCCTAAAACAGACAATAGTGCAAACAACGCTCCCATTTCTGTGTCCGTGTTGTTGTTTACAGTGAAGGCTGGTCTGCTGTCTTCCGGTAGCGTTAAGGCTGATTTATACTTCTGCGTCAAACGCCGGCGTTTGCTACGGCATTGACGCATAGCCCTTCGCCGTGCCCGTCGGCGTCACTGATGTGCACCTCTCAAAAAATTTAACAACATGTCGCAGCAACGCGTAGCGCAAGCTCTGTGATTGGTCAGCTTGGTAGCGCTGAAGAGTCTGGGTGGGACCGAGAGCGGCGCGGGCGGCGCTAGCCCAATGGAGCGATTGTTTACAAGTGTGGAGTCTCGTGAAGGAGCTCCGGATGGAAATTTTTGTTTTGTGTTTACCTCACAGTTAAAGTTGTTGCACGTCCGCCGGTTCCTGCCTCAAAATGAGCGAGTTTGAGCCACTTGTACATCCCGGAAGTGTTCAGGAAAAGCAAACAGCAACGAAGAAACTTGACACAAAGGAACATTTACACCTCACTGCCAACTAGCGTTTAGAAAGTGTTAATGTAGACCAACAGAGACAGCGCGCAGAAGTATAAATGCACTGCACTCACTGCGCCGTGAGTTACGCCGGTCACTTGACGCAGAAGTATAAACCAGGTTTTAAAGCCATGTGTTATAGTCATGTGATAGGGGTTTGATGAATACGCATTGACACAAAAGCCCCTATCAGGTAGCGAATGTCAGCAGCCCCGGCTCCGTTTTCAGACGTCTCCGTTTTCCCTCATCCACACTGAGATGGAGCAGCAGCGTTTCAGAATGAAAATGGCCTCTCCAGCGTTTCCAAAACGCTCCCTTTTCGGCACTCGAAAACTGACGTAGTTTGGACGAATGGCGTAACCGTAGCAAAACTTATGCGTTTTAAAACTAAAACACAATAGTGTAAACAGGTCCTGAATTGTCTCTATCACTGCCTCTGCACTCCCCCTGTAGCTGGTGTGTGGTAAACCCACTGGCAACCGTTGTCCTGTGGCTGCCGTAGCATCATCCAAGTGGATGCTACACACTGGTGGTGGTGTGGAGAGACCCCCCTCATGATTTTGAAGCGTTTTTTGTGTACGGCTATACACAATAAATGCACTATATAAATACACACAGTACATTAGATACTTTCTTTTACTTCCTCACTTTCATCTTTTCTTGAATTGTTCCTCCTTCACTTTCCCACTTCCTGTTCCGTGTGTTTAATTTTTGGTCGTTGATTTATCATATTCAGATCAACCTTCCCTTCCCTTCTGTGCTTTTCACTTCATTTTTGCCTTTCCACATTCGCATTGATTGTCTTTTATTTGCTTGTGTTCTCTGTCTTTGAGCAGTGTAATACACACAGACTGTGATTAGGAAGTGTCTGTCTGTTGACTCTCCTAGAAAGTATATAAACACAGACAGTGACATCATCAGAACATCTGTGTGTGTGTGTGTTCGAGTGTCTGGGGGTCTGCTTCTGTAGATCTGCTTGAGGATGTTAGTTTAGTGTTTTCCTGCAAACAGCAGGACAGAAAAGGGACTGGAGACGTGGCTAGCGCACACTGCGCGTTAGCATTGCTGTGTTTGCCCACAGTTCATTGTCACAGAAGTGTGTTTGCTCAGTGGAGAGGTCGCGGTCTACACACACACACACACACACACACACACGCACACACACTGAATGAGGCTGTTTCTGTACTCTGTCATCGTCTGCCAAACGGAGCTCATCCTGCTGCCTTTTCTTACACTGAAGAACCTGCTGCTCTCCTGCTGTGCCGAGTGAGTGAGTGAGTGAGTGAGTGAGTGAGTGAGTGAGTGAGTGAGTGAGTGAGTGAGTGAGTGTGTGCATTACTGATTTCGGCTCCATATCCCTCAAAATTTTTAGAGATTATGTGACCAAAGTCCCTGTAAGAATTAGCTTTTGGTGTGACTCAACGCGTGCATGTGGGTGCCTTTGACGTACTGCTTGATGCTTCTTACTGAAGTGCATTTTATACTCTTTAAAGTGTGAAGTTAATCCATATATTCAAATTGTATGTGTAAAATCTGCTTGTAGACTTGCACACCATTAAAAGAATTAAGGTGCTATGTAGAGTTATAAAGGGGAAATGGCCTGAGTAAACAACTAAGGTGTCTCAGGAAATGGATGAGAGTAGAGCAACACATGTGGAAACAGTTACGTATAGATGGATAAGATATATGGTTATTAGGTGGAAATTGGGGTCAGGGGTTAAACTAGGAGGGGTCTTGTGTGACATATGTAGAACAAAGAAAAAAACAGTTGTAAAAGAGTATTTAAGCAGGCCAGAACATCAGTGAGACAGAATTTTTCAGACAGAGATGCTACTGGGGGTCTCCTGAAGGTTCTCCTTTGTTGTCGACAATAAAGTATACTCTTCTGATATTCATAACCTCCAGACTGAGTTTGATTCATTAAGAGAAAAACACCGAAATACTCTCAGCTCACATCATTCAAAAGAAAAGGTCCACATTGTCCCACGATGATGTCAACAGACTGGACTGTCTTAGCAACTGGCTGAATGTAAAAAACGACTAAGCTAAATTGTTTCTGCTTTGTAATTAATGTTCTCATCTCACAGCAATACAACATTACAATAACTGCAATTGTTTGTATTCAATACTTTATTATTATTATAATTTTCCATTTTTCATATCTGCAATGCCTGTATTTTGCCATTTTTTTGCCTTCCACTTAGAATCCAACATGGAAATCATTTTTGTTTGTTATTGGCATTGATTGTTTTGAAATTTATATGGCATTAACATGCCTGTGTTTTTATTTCTGTGATAAATATGGCTGTCAAGCCAGGATCTTGATGGTTTATTGTGGGTTTGTTGTTTACATGAAGACATCTGTGTTACAAGTTAAACAAAAATTCTAATAAACAGCTATATTTTGATTTTAAATAGTTTTTGTCTTGCGTTTACATTAATTTTACAAATGAATAGCCAAAATTACAAGTTTCAGTCTTTTAAATGTGTTTAATCGCGATTTATTGCAAAAAAGTGATTAATTAGTTAACCTTTTTTTAAATACATGATGAATGAATACTCTTGACACATGAAAGTGTAAAGCCTGCAGCTCACAGCAAATTTGGAAAGTTATTGCCTGTCATATTTAACAAACAAATATTTAATTTTGATGTAATTTTTCTCACATGGAAAATTTAATAATAATCAGATGATGTCATTACCTTCTTTGCTATCAGCCAATCGCTGCATTGCTGATCATGATTTCGAGGATCGATAGATCAGTCATTCACAACACACGCAGCGATCTCAGATCAGTTCATCCATGACATTTTAATCTGATTCGCGGATCTGTTTGAAAAACCAGATTAGCCAGAGATCAGTTATCAAGATGAACAGATCCAGGATCTGCCAAATCATATTAGATCATCTAGGCGAGGTACGAAGAATGGAATCCTGGCGTGTGTTGTGATGTCATTTCTCTCAACATCAGGTCAAAATGAGCTTGATTTCTGCATGTACATTCTGGTGTATATGAGCTGGTGTGAAATAGCTTTAAAACATTTTTGAACTGTTAAGGCAAGTTTATTTCTATAGCACATACATACACAATGGTAAGGTAATACAAATTGCTTTAAATAAACAAGTATAAAACACACAAGAAAATAAAGATTAAAAGAATTAAAAGGGATTAAAACAGATTTAAAGGTGTTAAACGGGTTATAAAAGGAATGAAAAAGAAAAGAAAGAAATACTAGTCGGACTCTGTCGGACGCAGCACAGTGCTCATTCAGTAAAGGCACAGCTAAACATGTGTTTTCAGTCTTGATGTGAATGTGCCTAATGTTGGAGCACATCTGATCATTTCTGGAAGCTGATTCCAGCAGCTGTTACTAGCTGAAGGCAGATTCACCCTGCTTTGACTGAACTCTTGAAATTTCTAGTTTACTTGACCCTAAAGATCTGAGTGGTCTGTTTGGTTAGTATTTGGTGAGCATATCTGTAATGTATTGAGCTCCTAGACCATTTAGTGATTTATAGACCAGTAATAATACTTTGAAATCTATTCTGAATGTAACTGAGAGCCAGTGTGAAGACTTGAGGACAGGTCTGATGTGCTCTGAATTTCAGCTTCTGGTCAGAATCCTGGCCGCAGCATTCTGGATAGGATTTGCATTTTCCCAAGTAAATAAATGTCTGCAGTGTTATCTACTGTAGGTGTTATGGTGAAGCAGTTGTGCAGCGGACTGACCTTCTGTCTCTCTGTGTTTCTCCAGTAAACTCTTCAGTGAGTTTATCCTTAAAGTTCCCCTGGGGAGACTGGTAAAGCAGAAGCTCCACTGCATGATCGACATCGTCCACAGCGACCTGTTTACTCAGCATGGTATGTACACTGATACGCACACAGACATAAACACACACAACCTCACTACTCTAAGCTGGTTTTAAACAGATGGAGTACAGTGTTTACACATCTATTAGATGTTTGTTAAAATAAAGTAGAGGAAAGGCACTATTTTATTTAATTAAATGTATTATTATTATTTTTAATGTAATTAAATGTTTTAAGTTTTTTATTTGACATTTTATATAATTTATTTTATACATATGTTTTCATTTAATAAATGTTTTAATTAGTTTTTATTTTTTAACTAATTAAATTTTTTAAATAATTATTTAATATAGTTTTATTTTATACATTATTATATTTATTCATTTTATTTATTAAATATTTAAACATTTTTTATTTTATATTTAGTTTAATTTCGTGTAATTTTTTTTGTTATTTAATTTTATTATTTTAATTAAATTATTTATTTTTTAATTTAATTTAATATTTTAATAGTTTATTATTTTATATTTTATATATTTTATTTTATAACTTATTTTATTATGTTTTTAATAAATGTTTTAATTTCTTTATTTTGTTAAATTTAAAATTTATTAAATTACATTTTATTTTGTTTTAATTAATTTTAGTTAATTTTTATTTGTATTTTATTCTATTTGATAATTTAAATAAATG